ATCCCTTGTATAGCACTGTCCTAGACACCTTGACCCTTTTAATAAAATGTATTAACTTTACACATAAAACTTGGTTTGCATGTCTGAAAAGCAGTTTCACTAACCAAATCAAAGTAATCAAAACAGAATGGAAGACTGAAAACAAAAGCATATTTGGCTTTGGGATTTTGAGGAATCATTATTATTACATACATAAGTCTATGGGTCCTGATGAGATAAATCCCAGATTCCTGAGAGAATTGGCTGATGTAGTTGCCAGGCCACTCTCCATGATATTCGAGAAGTCATGGCAGTAAAGTGAAGTCCCTGCAGACTGGAAAAAGGGAAACATTGCACCCATTTTTAAAAAGGGTAAAAAGGAGGACCCTGGGAACTGTCGACCTGTCAGCCTCACCTCTGTGCCTGGGAAGATCATGGAACAGATCCTCCTAGAAGCCATGCTAAGGCACATGGAGGACAGGGAGTTGATTCAAGACAGCCATCACGGCTTCACCAAGGGCATGTCCTGCCTGACCAACCTAGTGGCCTTCTATGATGGAGTAACTACATCAGTGGAGGAGGGAAGAGCTACAGATGTCATCTGTCTGGAATTCTGTAAGGCTTTTGACACAGTCCCCCACAATATCCTCCTCTCTACATTGGAAGGACAGGGATTTGATGGGCGGACTGTTCAGTGGATAGCAAACTGGCTGGATGGTCGCATCCAGAGGGTAGTGGTCAATGGCTTGATGTCCAGATGGAGATCAGTGATGAGTGGTGTCCCTCAGGGGTCTGTACTGGGGCCAGTGGTGTTTAATATCTTCATCAATGACATAGACAGTGGGATCAAGTGCACCCTCAGCAAGTTTGCTGACGACACCAAGCTGTGTGGCCTGGTTGACACACTGGAGGGAAGGGATGCCATCCAGAGGGACCCTGACAGGCTTGAGAGGTGGGCCTGTGCAAACTTCATGAAGTTCAAGAAGGCCAAGTTCAAGGTTCTGCACATGGCTCAGGGCAATCCCCCATATCAATACAGGCTGGGGGATGAAAAGATTGAGAGCAGCCCTGAGGAGAAGGATGTGGGGGTACTGGTGCTACTACCACCTCCCCTGTTGCAACTTGAGGCCACTTCCTCTGTCACTTTCCTTCCTGTCACTTGTTACTTGGGAGAAGAGACCGACCCCCACCTTGCTACAACCTCCTTTCAGGCAGTTGTAGAGAGTGATAAGGTCTCCCCTCAGCCTCCTCTTCTCCAGACTAAACAACCCCAGCTCCCTCAGCCGTTCCTCATAAGACTTGTGCTCCAGAGCCTTCACCAGCTTCGCTGCCCTCTTTTGGACACGCTCCAGCATCTTAATGTCCTCCTTGTAGTGAGCGGCCCAAAACTCAACGCAGTACTTGGGGTGCAGCCTCACCAGTGCCAAGTACAGAGGGACAATAACTTCCCTAGTCCTGCTGGCCACACTATTCCTGATACAAGTCAGGATGCTATTGGCCTTCTCGGCCACCTGGGTGCATTGCTGGCTCACATTCAGCTGGCTGTCAACCAGCACCCCCAGGTCCTTTTCTGCTGGGCAGCTTTCCAGCCACTCTTCCCCAAGCCTGTGGTGTTGCATGGGGTTGTTGTGACCCAAGTGCAGGACCTGGCACTTATCCTTGTTGGACCTCGTATGATTGGCTTTGGCCCATCAATCCAGCCTGTCCAGGCCCCTCTGTAGAACCTTCCTACCCTCCAGCAGATCAACACTCCCACCTGATTTGGTGTCATCTGCAGACTTCCTGAAGGTGCACTCAATCCCCTCGTCCAGATCATTGATAAAGATATTAAACAGAACTGGCCCCAATACTGAGCCCTGGGGAACACAAATTGTGACCAGCCACCAACTGGATTTGACTCCACTCACCACAACACTTTGGGCCCAGCCATCCAGCCAGTTTTTTACCCAGTGAAGTGTACGCCTGTCCAAGCCATGACCAGCCAGTTTCTCCAGGAGAATGCTGTGGGAAACAGTGTCAAAGCTGTTACTAAAGTCCAGGTAGACAACACCCACAGCCTTTCCCTCATCCTCTAAGTGGGTCACCTTGTCATAGAAGGAGATCAGGTTAGTCAAGCAGGACCTGCCTTTCATAAACCCATGCTGTGACTGGGCCTAATTCCCTGGTTGTCCCATACGTGCCACATGATGGCGCTCAGGATGATCTGCTCCATAACCTTTCTGAGGTCAGGCTGACAGGCCTGTAGTTCCCTGGATCCTTCTTCCAGCCCTTCTTGTAGATGAGCGTCACCATTTGCTAACCTCCAGTCAACTGGGACCTCCCCAGTTAGCCAGGACTGCTGGTAGATGATGGAAACCAGCTTGGTGAGCACTTCTGCCACCTCCCTCAGTATTCTCGGGTGGATCCCATCCGGCCCCATACACTTGTGCGTGTCTATGTGGTGTTACAGGTCGCTAACCATTTCCACGTGGATTATGGGGGCTCCCTGTCCCTGTGTTTCAGCTCAGGGGGCTGGGTACCTCGAGAACAACTGGTCTGAATATTAAAGACTGAGGCAAAGAAGGCATAAAGTACTTCAGCCTTTTCCTTGTCCTTTGTCACTATGTTTCCCCCCACATCCAATACAGGATGGAGATTCTCCTTAGCCCTCCTTTTATTGCTAATGTATTTATAGGAACTTTTTTGTTGGCTTTTATAGCAGTAGCCAGATTAAGTTCTAGTTGGACTTTGGCCCTTCTAATCTTCTCCCTGCATAACCTCATGACATCCTTGTAGTCCTCCTGAGTTGCCTGCTCCTTCTTCCAAAGGCTGTAAACTCTCCTTTCTTTCCCATACATTATTTATGAAGTTCAAGTCTAACTTTAAAAATTATGACTACCTTATAAAGTCATGCATAATGAAAAGTTTAATTTTATTATCCCTTATATGCTGTTGGGGAATAATTTTGTACAAACATCCTACTGTAAAAGCTCCTTAAAAAAGGAAGTTTTTCATTATTTTAACTTGCTTCAAGGAACGTCTTTCTCTTTGCGTTGTATGTACATCACTCTTTGCCAGAGAAGAGTATCTGAATTTCCTCTGCATTACAATGTTTTTAAATCAGCATTAGTGGCTACATGTTAGAAAGATCTAGTATTCTTGATAGATCAACCTGAACTCTATCCTTCAAAAGCTTGTAAGACTTCACGAAGATCTTTGTATATGTGTCTCTGAGCAAAGCAAGAACCTGAGATAAGGGTTACCATTGCTCTCAAAGGTTAGATCTGACAGAGGGTAAATGCTTAAATATATGACATTGGTGCTCTGCTGACAAAGCCAACCTCTAGAACTACATGTGAAAGGTTCTGGCATTTATTCTTCTGTATTCTGAATGACAAATAAATTTGCACCCTTTTAGCTTCAGACACCAAATTTGCATAAAGATGGAGAGGTAGGACCCATGAATATGATGATGATCTTCATCCTACTTAAACTGAGAGCTGCTGTTTGGGTTAATACGGCTCTTACATTGCACGGCACTTGTATGCCCGAATTCCACCACAGAAGTAGGCAGCGAATTTGCCAGTTTTCTGCAAGGCTTCAGTCTCACTCTGGTATACTAAGAAACATGACTTCTTTACCAAATGAGCATTAACCTAGCAGAATAGATAAGGAAAATCTTAGCTTAACCACATCTGGTTAAGTCTACCCATTGTTTTTATAAGTAGGTTATGCTATATTTTGCAGTCTTAAATGCAACAAAACAAAAACAGAAGAGAAAGCATTTAAGTAAAGCAAGGATTCCTTCCGTTTACTGTGTATTACCCTGTTAGAGACATGAAGATTATCTTCACATTTCAGACCCACAGAAGTAGTGTAAGGAACAGAATAAGTCAATGAGATGACCTCCTCTTTGGAAAACCCTGTCTCTAAATGTCCATATCCCTAAAGGAAAGTGGTCTTCAGAGCACTAATGAGGAGCACATCTGGAGGAGCACTCAGCAGCCACCCTCTGTATAATGAGCATTTTGCAGTGGTGTGGATGTTTGAACTGGAGATGAGCTGTCCTTTGAATATCACTCTGGAAATTGACCCTTTGGATATCACCCATCATATTGTTATCTTGAAGAATTATATTTCCTTCTTTTTCTATTTTGATCTTACTTTGGCTATTGTAATGGTCATTTTTTTACTGTGTTTTGCATCCCTAGTGTAACAAAAATAATTATTTTCTGCTTCCTCTCACCTCTGCAATCAGTAAATGAATTTTGTATCCCAGAGTATGTTAAGAGTGTTTTTCTGGCACCACTTCTTTCAACAAGAACAAAAAGAAACTGATCATTCTCAAAATAGTATGTTCTAATGAGAGTGAATATAATGACCGTTGTTTATCTCTGTACTGGAGAAATTGAGATGCCAACAATCCAGCATTTGCCTTACGTCACAAGAGGCTGATAAAACATGGTAGCAGACTTGAAGAGACAGGTCTTTTAGTCTAGCATCTCTAAGCTTAGATCACCTCTTCGGGTATTACAATTATATTTTCAAAAAGCAGGTCTTGATCACCAAACAGTTGACAGCAAACAGCATAAGGAATAAAAGTCACGAATATATCCCAGCCTTTCAGTTCTGTTTAAAATAGAGGAGAAATAAAGATGCTCTATATTGAACAGAAACCTATTAAACTTGTATAATGTATTGAAAGTATATGTTATTTTAAATGTTTTATTGAAGGCTAACAGTCATGGATGTTGGACTCCTTTGGCTGTGCATCTGTTCATAAAATTATATTAGTTTAGGGTACCAGACCCCTAAGTTCTTGACTGGAACTGAAGACATCCTATAGTGACTGCTCATATGGTTTGGATCATTACTGGAGAAGTCTGTTGAATATTTTTAAATTAGGACAGTCCGCAGGTAAGGCTTACCAGTATTTAAAAAGTTATGAAGTAAAAAGGAACAGAAGATTTAGTCTGCTAAATATGCATTTGTCTGGTATAAACAGTTTTCACATTGTGATAACCTGCACGTGTCCTTCACAGGGGAGGAGCTGTGCACTGGCCTCATTTCGGGCTGTTCCTTGGACTGTTCCTTCGGCTTCCAGACTGATGTCCACAACTGTGAGATCTGTCAGTGCCGACCGCGGCCTAAGAAGTGCAAACCCATTGTATGTGACAAGTACTGTCCCTTTGGATACTTGTACGTATTCTCATCCTGAAAGCGTATTTAATGTAATCCCTGTACATATTGAAAATATGCAAAATCCAGGCATACGTACTTGTGTTTAGTTTGTGGCAAAGCAGAGGAAAATGTAGGAAAACAGAAATGTCATAACTTGCTGTGAGACTGAAAGTATTCTTCAAAAAGGCTTTTGATCAAGAAATTAAGAAATGGCAACTAAAAAACAGCAGCAGATTATAAAAGCAAAGCAGTGCTTAAATTTTTTTGAAGAATATTTGATGAACAAGATGAAAAAGCTACTTACAAGTAACGTCTCTTGCATGTAGCCTTTTGAAATGCTGATTGCATGTTCTGCTGTGATACCCTTTCATTTTGTAGCCCACTTATTTTAATCAAATGATTTTATAATATTTCAAGGTTTTTTTAATGTCGATATGACAGCACACTAGTTTTAGCGAGATATTTCTGATAGTTACTTTACAGGATTCAGGAAGAACAGTACCATTGCTTATCTAAGTTTTTGTAAATGTGTTCAAAACCTGTATTGTTGCCGGAGTTCTTTCTCCATAAAAGGAAATATTTGCAGTATTTATTCATTTGTGGAACAGGTGACAAAAACTAGGCAGATCTTTTGTCACATAGAAATTTCTTAGTAATCAGTCTGGTAGCTTCTATACATATTTTACCAATATATTTTATTTTTGATGGGTCCATTCCATGTTACTGCCTGCTTTTCATAACAGTTTAATTTCTACCTCACGACAGCTGATCTTCAGATAATGTTCATATGTAATTTGTTTTCTTAGGATTTGTAATGAAGTTTACTAATGTTGCAACTCTCAGTGTGTGATACTAATACCCCTTTAATTTCCAGTTCATCTTGGAGTTCTGTTTGACACTTGTTCATAAACACTGCAGGTTTTTATAACAGTAATCTATAGTGTAGTGTGTCCTCCTCTTAGTACGTGATTTTAATAAAGTTTGGAGGAATCAAAATACAGTGGAACCTGAATGATCAGAGAGATACCAGAGATTTTAGAAAAACAGAAATCAAGCTCTAACAGTGATATTCCCACAGATTTAATCAGCTCTGCTCATAGGTGGTGCTAGTGAACAACTTGTATTCTCTCCAGTTGTGCTGCCAATGTAAAAAAAAAAAAAAAAAAAAAAAAAAAAAAAAAAAAAAAAAAAAAAAAAAAGAAAAAAGGCGAGAGAGAGATAATACCAGCCTTACACCTCCCTTTAATCTTCATGCTATTCTTAGCCACAGAGTGGTGTTCTGCTTAGGTGAATACAGTGTTCTGGTTGACCTCCCTCTTATTGCCCATACAGCTCTTGCATTGTGCATGGTGCTAAACAGGAGGTGGTATTACATCAAACAAAAAGCAGACCCATAGCCCATGGAACAATAATGGCGCAAATATGCTGCAATACACAGCCAAAAAAAAAGAAGAAATAAGAACATTTGAAGAGTATGTTTTCCTCGAAAACATTGAGTCACGGTTTTGAAGCATTTACTGGAAATTGCCATATAGTCCTCATATGGTGTAACCATTTCTCAAGGGGCACTGAAATCATTTGCCCTAGCTTATATTTGATTTTGAACTTTGGCACAGAAGAGAGAAAAATTCTGAATAATGGCCATCAGAATATATTTCATTGCTATTTGCAACAAAGATGGAAGCCCTCTTTTTTGTTCACAATACATAAAGCATCTTCAGTAGCAAGTACAGGACCAGATTCTATATCTGAACATTTCTTTTAATTTCTGTTTTATATTTGTGTTTTAAAAACAAATTCTCATTAACGATACTCAGTTACTGGTTATTTTTCAAACTGATTTATAAACTCAGCAGATTAATCTAATGTGATACTTAAAGGGCACACTAAGTTTGTTAGATCTTTATACTTCAGGTTTATACTTTTTCTGTATTGTAGCTCTTAATTTATTGTCTGTAGCAGGGTCAATAACTTAAAGCTATCAGAACAGAATCCTAGAAGCCTTTTTTCATCCACATGCTCAAGGAGTGTGTGCATGCATGTATTTGCATAACAGCAGAGACAGCTGGTATGAACTACAGAATTTTTTACTGTTTACTCAGTGTGACTGAATATCGTTCAGCTTGGAACAGGAAAAGCTTTTTTTAATTTTAATATTACAAGTGCATAAATTATTATTTTCAAGGATTTAGCCTATTCAAAAGTTATAATATGAGAAAACTATTAAATAAGGTCTATTTAATGTCTATTGTCATTGCCTTTTTGGACTTATACAGAAATAGCTTGAATATATTCATGAACCAAAGTCTAGGTGTTTATTTCCATTCCAGCTAACTCTATTCTTTGACTTTTCTGTGGTATCTAAAGCGGTCAAGTTTGTTTCTCCTTCTGGTTTCTTTCATTTTAAACTACTGGTTTTCTTCACTAGCAGTCCCAATGTAAATGTCACACAGAAGTGTTAAAAATGTTTTTCTACTGCTGATAAGGATTGTTCTGAATTATACTTACCAAAGTCATTTACTGTTAATGTGTTTTGTTTGTGTAAATGTATTGTTTACTGTTACATTCTTTTAGTTTATTGTACAATACCTTTCCCAACAATATGGATTTAGGAAGAAACACTCTCTTCCACATAATGAGCAGCTTCGTCTGGTTTGGTTATATAAACTATAATTTTTGTTTAGAGGAAAGTGGACAGTATTTTTGCAGCTTTAAATGGAACATAGTAGAGACCTTAATAACCTGTGGTGAACTGAATATTTTTTTACCTTCAACAGTCTGAATCATCAGGGAAAAGCAAGTATTCTTTTAAGATAAGTTAAGACAGTAAGTTTCCATTCCTGGGCCTGTGTTCCTAGTGTGTGTGACTGGTAGTAACGTTCTTGATTTAAGTCTACCTCATTAGTGACCAGACTATGTATAACTGCTAAAAAGAATAGTATTTTCTTTGGTCCTGTTTTTTTCCTTAGCTTTCAGTAAAGATGCGCCCCTTACTTCTGCTTACATATATTTTTACTCAGCAACTTCTGATTTTTGCTTCATTTTCTTAAGCAGAAGTTTCTCTTTACTGTTGTCTTCTATGCTACTTTTTAGTATTGCTAGCTTTGCAGTGAAGTAGGCTGTTCCATGTGAACTGAATTAATTAATGAATTAATAAACTTTGATTAATTCAGAAACTTGTTACTTGGTTTGAGAGGTCTGACTTCCATGGTCTCTCTCTCATGAACTGTGACTTAACTGGTTTTCTAAAGAAAGTTTTAAACAAAGATGAGGAAGATCCTTATGTATAACTGGAAGATGACCCTCAGATTGCAATGAATTTGACCTGTGATGTTAAGGGTTTTACTCTGACACACCGGTATAAATCATCAAGAATGCCTTTTTGAACAACAACATAAAATCTGAAATAATTCTGCTGGCCTTCTCTTGTTGCACTTTAGGTGAAATATGTCTGCATTATTTTGAAAGGCCTTAAAGGAGAAATCTCTAAAAATCAGTATTAATACCCCATTTGGAAATTGAAGTTTTATTTTATTTCCCTCCATTAAGAGTAGGGGGATAGAATATAGATTTCTACTTCACTTTAAAGCATGTAAATTAAATCTGATCTGAAAATGCAGGTGCAGACATTAGGCCGTTGAAGTCCTCATAGCATTGCTTTTTGATACACACCACAGAAGCCTACCTTGTGTAAGTTGAGGCTGTTCTCTAGTTGTGCGTCTTCCATTTAGCCTTATCACATCATATTGTGTGATGCCTTACATACTCTGCTTTTACTTCTTTAGAGAAAGATAAGAACCCAAGAATAGAGCCTAAGATACTCTGCGCCTTAATAAACTGCTTTTCTGTGTTTGAGTGCAATCCTCTTGATCTATAGAGTCCCTTAGTCTGTGTGATCTGTGAGTATCATCCTGCTGATACCTGTGCCTCAGCAGTTAAGGTGATTATTGTTAAGAAATTTGTGGTATGTGTTGATTATAATCTAGCTGATTGTATGGGGAAGTCTGAAGGTGTCTGTGCCATCTTCTTCAATGTGGACATGGACATACCTGAAGCTTGTGTTAATACTGTCTATCTACCCAGAAATGGTTCAGTCTTCTGAATGAAAACCAAAGAGGACTGAAGAGAAAAAAGATAGATGGGCCTAGCTTTATATAAAGAAATCGATCAAGTCATTCATTTTCCTGCAATGCTTTCCTGTAATAAAGAAGTGATATCTCAGTTTCTGAGACAGATAGGAAAAGTCCTATGAGTACTGTCCATGAGCTGCAAGAGCACTTTAAACACAGAGATGCTTAGTCCCAGGTGCAAGTATTTTTCAGTGTCAATCATGTGCCAAGGATAATCTGTTAAAGGATACAAATATCAGGCACAAATTCAAGTGATTTTTCTAAACTCATGGAGGAAGCAGACAGTGTCTAAGAAACCGTATGATGCTGTCACATAAGAGTAGGAAAAATTTAGAAAAATAGTAAGGTTTATGATGTTGAAGAAGAGAATAATAAGACAGGCTTTATTTCCTGTTTTTTTTTTTTTAATTTGTACATCTGAGGAAGACTAAAACTGCCAAGTAATAAGCTTCAAAATGTAAACTCAGATCTTCAGAAATTGAAAGTATCTGGAATTTAGTGAAACAAAAGAAAAATAATAAACAGGTTAAAGTTAAAAAGCATAAATATTGAATCTTGCAATTTGCAACTATCCATTTGAAGTCCTAGACATGATAAAGTGACACATTGATCAGACGTTGACTTGCAGAGTATCAGATCTGGACCATGTAATGACTTGCCTAGGCACTCCCCAGTCCAAGGCATGCTGTCTGCCCCATTGTAGCGTATCCCTTTCAGAGGAGCCGTGGGAGGTTGGTGAAAACATCACACAGGCCAGGACTGCTCCATGGGCTAGCAGTGAACCACAAGGCTCATCTTCAAATAGAAGGCATTATAAAAAATACAATGTTCAGCCTCTCACAGAATTACACTGCTTGTTGTAAAGAGTAGTAATTTTTAGCCTGTATTTATGACTCATTTAGTATCTTGACCTACAGGGGAAAATTACATATTTCCGTATGTGCTTTCTGTGCTTAGATAAGCTGAAACACAGTATTCTTTCTCCTTTTTTTTTTTTAACTGAAGTGGGCACAAAACAGTTTTATTAGAAAATCTATGTGAACTATGTAGCAAAAACATTTTAGAAATTACAGCAAATATTAATGGACATAGTATGGTAGCTGGGAGTAAGACCAAGATGTTTTAAAAAAAGCTGATTTCAAGCTGATGCTAGTGTTTAAGGAACCCTGTCTTTGGGATGATCTTTCCCTTGCATTTGTGTGCACCTGAAAAAAAATGAACTTTAAACTTTTTTAAGCTAATTGGAAAATAATCTTCAATTTAAGTTCTGGTTTTAAATATAGAATGTAATTTAATTATGTATAATGGTTGGTTGGTATTTTTAAATGAGGAGTGTTTAGTAAGTCTTAAGATGATTGTAATTTAAAAAAAAAAAAAAAAAACTAAAAAAACCCAAAACCAAACATTGGAAATGAGCACCCTAATCTTGTCACTGTCTACAAAGCATATGACTAATTGCACTGAATGAAAGTAATAACATTTAAAAATAACTATGTATGTAACAGTTTGTAGTATAAAGGGCTAAAATTGTGGTAAGAAATATTTTAAGATCATTTCACTTCAAGTCTTACTTTGGTGCTAAAATTATTCAGATTTGCAGTTGTTTAGTACATTTGTTCAGTTCTTTACTGCTATCATGCCAATTTCTTTTCTAAAATAGCAAACCTTATGTGACTTCCAAGCCTGTTATGACCATCAAAAGCATGGGATGTAATGGAAGACAAATCTCTATTTTAATGTAAAACTTTGGTCACAAATAGGAGACTAACGAAGCAAGTATTTGAAGAGAAGTATATTAGAGAATGAAAAATTAAGGAGTAATCATCATGATTGTGTGGTGTTTTGTTTTTTTTTTATAGACTGTCAAAGGTTAGTACTTGGAACAATCTGAGTTTGTGCATCTTTAAAGAAACCAAAACCTTTTCACAATTGTCTGAAAAAATCCAGCTCAATAGAGTTCACTGTTTGAAAGCTCTACACGTTAATGGAAAGAAGCATTTCTTTTGATACTAAAAGGGCTGCGGTTACAGAGATTAAGGAGGAAAAAATAAATGGATAGGACAGAAAGTCTTCCATTCTCCATCCTACTGTGTGACAATTTGTTTTCCTCAGTCTTTTAACTAAAAATTAAATAAAAGTTTTCTAGAGCTTGAAGTCAGGCTTTCTAGCGATTTACATAATTTATTTCTTCTCTATGCCTCTAGATGTTCTTTAACTTCCCATGTCTTTTCTTTGTTTTGGGGGGAACTGGTGTGCATTTAATGGTGTAATATTCAATGAGGGATCCAGCAGTTTCCCAATAAATGTTTTTCCCAGTTTTAGTGAGTTACGGCATTAGAGCGATACGTTTATCAGCAGACTCATGAAAATCATTTACTGGGTCGTTTACCCCTCTTTGTCTTGAACTTCTTCTTACAACTTTTTTTTCCCCTGTATCTTGAGAAGGCACAGAAAATTACTCTATCTGTATATGAAGGGAAATAGTACACTTGTGCCTAGAGTTTGAATGGTATTATCTGTCTTCTTGAAAAAAAAGACAATCAAATATTTGGTATAGGATTCTCAAAAGCAGCATGTTTGTGGTGCTGAGAAGAGATGCTGTCAGGTGGTGCTCTGGACTCCTGCCTAGCTTCACCTGGAAGCTTTGGAAGTATTTGTGTTCTTGATTCTCCGTACTCTGTCTGCTGAAGAGTTCTCTGGTTTTCTGCTTCAAAATATATTACTGTGTGTCTGCTACTTTTTATATTGGTTATTGGCATTTCACGTGCTAGTTTTCAAGTAAGCTTTATGTCTGCTTATTTAATGTTTTCAGAAATCTCTCTGTAGTTTTAATATGCAAGAGAGGAAATCTACTGTACTTCACCAATTGTTGGAGGAAAAAAGTTAACAGTAATTTGTGTTCTAAAAACATAGTAATTATAACAGATTCCTACCTACCCCTCCAACTTCTTCACAGTTTTAGAAGTCATTCTTTCTACTTTTTCACTTGAAAAAAGAATTGATCATCCATAGTAGCCACAAGCACGTATATTATACGTATATTATATTATCTGCTATGGCTTGAAAGTACTAAATGCAGAGATTTTGCCAGTCATGTGGAGGGAGAACATGCCAGGGATGGAGACCTGTACAGCCCATAGACTCACTGAACCTAAGGGTGACAGTTAATGATAATTTTCTTTACTTGATCAGTCACTTCTTTAGGGGATGCTTTTGCTTTAAAGATCATGACATGTAGATATTTCAAGTGACCTGCTGACCTTTTACAAATTATTTTGGTCATCTAGGAAGAACAAGCATGGCTGTGAAATCTGTCGGTGTAAGAAATGCCCGAACCTGCCTTGTGGTAAAATCTGTCCGATGGGCTTCCAGCAGAACAATCATGGCTGTGTTATCTGCAAGTGCAGAGGTAGGTGTGAGTGCATTACCACCTCTAATTACAACTTGTTTTCAAAGCAGTTGGAAGCTAGAGCAAAAGAAAAGGAATACTGCACAGAATATGTAAGAATTGAAATATGGTAACTGGTGGGGGAGTCTGTTCGACTTTGCTCAGCAGAGTGTATTGTTTTGCAGGTGTTTGTTATTATCTGTGTTCATCGTGGCTTCAACAGAAAGCCTCAGCCCCACTTTGATCTCCCATTACAAAGTCCAAAAAATCAGTTCGTAGTCATTAATAAAAATTAGATCAGGGTCTTAATAAGTAACTACTAGATATAAGCTACTTGGGGGGGGGGGGGTGTCAGTAGCAGCATTCATATTAGCTTCTTTATCATCATCTTTTCTTTACTCAAGTTTTGGATTTGATAGATGCCCTGTACACCACCTAAAATGAGAGTACTGTTTCTTGGACACTTTTCAGGCAGTCTCGAGGAACAATGAGTAGAGAGAGTGCTTACCCAGCAGAAAGGACTGGGTATTCTTAAGCTAAAGATTTCACACATGCCACATCCCAAACTTGTAACCACCAAGTTTGAGGTGGAGACTGAGATAAGATGTTCATTAGTTGTCTGCTTTAGTTTTGTGCTGCTTTTAACATGTCTCTTTTTTAAGATATTTTCAGTTCGTGTTTTGTATTAGTCTGGGTATCAGGCTTCCTTCATTGCTCATCTCCACGTGATGCATTTAATAACTTTTCATTTGTGCTCTGGCTCTCTCTGATCCTAACTGCTCTTTCACGCTTATTTTCTTTGATTCTTACTTGTGTGTTTTGATTTCTAGCTATAGGCGAGTAAGTTTGAATATTTTCCCATTGCTTTGTGTAATGACTCCATTCTTAACTTTTTTAGCAGCTATTACTTTTGCATTTTAAAAAATGATAAAATATAATAAGACAAGCTATGGGAATATGGGACTGGAAGAAAGTCTATGAGTTCCTGAAGACACTCTCCTGTAGTGAAGGCAAACATGCAGTCGTATAAATCAGAAGGATCCAACGTTATATTTTTTCCACATCATACGCTGCAGACAATTATAACAAAACTTTAAGAATTCTAGCAAAAAAAAAATGAAATATTATAAATGCACCTTGCAGGTATGAGAAGTAGAGAGAGATTTCACTGACATAAGCTGTAATATATAGCTTTTACTAGAAATAAAAACTTTAAAAATGCAATAAGAAAGGGTAGCTCCTGAATGGAGTCCCATTGAGACAATTCTCATTGCTTATCTTGTCATTTTTCTCCATGTTCACAATCAATACACTTTTCCTGATTGTCGTGATGCTGTGATGGAATATACACAAGATGTTCTCTTAAATGTGCCATAATTGCATCCCAGACTATAAACAGATGCAACTCTTCGGTTACTAATTACGTGTATGCACACTTTTAAGTGCTTTCCTTAACAAGGATGGATTTTAAAACCTGCACAAGTGTTTAGCGAAAATAACTTGATCCCTCTCTAAGTACTATTTATTGTTATCATGATCATAAAGATATCAAGCCATGAGCATATCACTTCAGCATCATTTCATTAGCAACTTGTCCAAGAATAATTAGAGCAATCACCAGTACGTTCTAGGGGCGCTGTGAGTCCTTGTTAAAATTTTGACCCAAAATGTATAAGTAAGAGAAAGGGATGGGTAAAATCCCCTGCCTGTGAATTAGCTCCACTTTCTAAATGGCTTCTACCAGAAATAGCTTATGCTAGGATTAATAGAAGTAAAACCATAGAAGTGCAGGGCTGGGGTAGTCCTCTGGAAAACTAAGAGTCCATTTCTCTGCCATCACATAAAATAGAGTGTATCTGGATAATCCTTAACAGATGTTTGACTAAGAGTTAAGTTATTAAGAATCTCCACTCTGAAAAGAAAACAAAACAAAACAGAACAAAACACCTCTCTTTAAAATACTGTTTTCCTGTGGTTACCAATATGTGACATTTGAAAATAAATTTTCCAATATTTCTGTCTCCCTTTCTACAAATTTAACCAGTTACTTCTTGTCCTAAGCTCAGCAGACATATGGAACAGCTAAACACCATTCCCTTTAGAATTCTTGCAATATTTAAGAGGTTGCAATTAGAGCCCCCTAAATGTTTTTTTGTGGTTTTTTTTTTTTCCTAAGTCAAATAAACCCAGTTATTTTGGTCTCTCATCACAGTTCAAAAACTGGATATTGTACTTTAGCAGTAGCAAAATCTTCAAACTAGTAGAGATAGTAGTACTGCATTTCAATTTACAGTGCTCCTGTACTGGTATCTTAGATTGAACTTGCCTTCTCTGCAGTGGCATCACATTTTACTTGTGAGCTACTATAATCCCAGATCGTTTCAACCATACGTCTAGTTATCCAGTTATTCCCATTTTCTATTTGGGCATTTGGTTTCTTCTTTAAGTATTATCTTTTATACTATTTTTAATTAAAAACTGAAAAGTGAAAACAATCTCTGTTTGTCAAGTTAATTTTGAATAGTTGCTATATGCTTGGTTTGTTTCTCCAAATTTTGGAGTATACTTTAGAACATTTCAGCAACAAAAGTTTGGTTACATCATTATTTATTAAGGGGAAGGGTATTACCATCTCAGACTTTCCTGTGTCAATAATCATTTTAATGTAGGACAGTATTCCAGTGATATTAATTCAAATAGGAATTAATATATAAACTGATACTAAAGTATAAAAGTGTAGTAACGGAATGTAAATTTTTTTCATAGTGTTTCTGTTCATGAGATAGGATGAAGTCTGTTCTAAGAAGTATTTTTCCTTATGCCATGGCTTTTCTTTTTAATTCATAAAATGGTATGGTAATGTAATTTCTGTGTATTGGGTTCTTACTCTGATAACATGCATCAAACTAACTTTGTACTATCTGCTTGTGGCTCTTAGACCACCTTTGATACATCTGTAACAGCTGAAGAAGTGCTGACCTACATGTTATTGAAAAAAATATAGAAAAAAAAATCTTACTAAAATTACATATAAACATTACTACTTTTCATACTGCATCCTTTTTTAAAAAGAAAATGAAATAAGCAACTTAATACAAATAACCTTATATATATGTAAGCATCAGCATAACATGGTTGACATACCACTGAAAACAAGTCAGTTCACTGACAAACTGATCCTAAATCCTTCATCATCATAATGATGTGGGTGAGGGAGTGTTGGGGTCTAAATTCACTCTGCTGATTAACAAAGAATATACTGAGGCTGAATCCTGCAGCACTTAAATACCCCTTAAGATACAAATGAGACTTTATCCTCCCTAGACCAACTGCTTGCGTTTTCTGGCTGAGTGCAAGTAATGAAGTAGTCCAAGCTACTGTATTCTCATCTCAGTAAAAGCTAGGAATGAGCGATAAAATTGTCAGAGCAGTTATCTTCCAAAAATATCATTTATCATAGTAATGTAAACAAATAATTTCTCATAGGAAAGTGTTTTATGAAATAGTTCCAGTATCTAGCATGACCCCGTTAGATCTTGCTTGTAATTTTTGTCATTCACGATATAAGAGCATCCTTAGCTCTTGTACATGCTTTTATGTTCTACTTTTTATCAGATACTCACATTATAGATAATCTAATACACTGTAATATTTAAATATTTTATTTTAAATATCCTTCATGCTTTCTGCTTTTTCCCTCCATTGCATTTTTCCTTTTTCTTATATTATTTAGCCGGTACTGCATTTCTGTATGATTAAAACCAGTATAGGTGCAACAGGAAGAAGTGATTATATTTTCCAAGGAAATACATTCTACTACATCCTATCATCCCCTTCAGTATACCTTTTAATTGTTTTATGTGTGTTGTTACTTCATTTCTAAGCATAAATGATAGAATTATTAATCACTTTATTTTATATGTGCTTTCAAAAATAAATGCAATCCAGGCATGAAGTTGGTGTGGTTTTTCCTAAGCAACACATGCTTATCAGGACACTTCATTTTCCTTTGATTTTCTGCAGAGGCAACCGCTTCTCTTATGCCTCCTGTTAAAACAGGCTCTTGCCTGTCAATGGATGGGCGCCGACATGAGAACGAGGAGAGCTGGCATGATGGCTGCAGGGAGTGTTACTGTCACAACGGACGGGAAATGTGTGCCTTGATCACCTGCCCTGTTCCTAATTGTGACAACCCCACCATACATCCAGGGCAGTGTTGCCCATCATGTCCAGGTAACATGCTTTCTTCTATATGCTTTGTAATCGGGTTTCATTTCACATGTGTCCTGTTTCCTAATACGTGAAAATAATCTCATGCATCATTCAGTAATAGGTATGTATGAGGGTTTCTATGACCAAATATAAAATGATGAGGGGCTTTCACTACGACCTCAGATGTGAAAAATGGGAACTTAAATACTGAAAGCATATGCATGTATTGGGTGCTAACATGTTGATTTTTGATACATTGAAATCTTTAAACTAGAAGAAGTTTCTAGTCTATATTAGCTATAATAGCAAATTTATACTCATGTACAATTTTGTTACCTATAATAGCAAATATTCTAATAAGTCATTACATTTTCTCTTTTTTAATTTGGAGTTTTATTAAAATTCATCTCCTGATCTATGTTTCACAACCTCTCAAAGAAGTACACATTTAAACAGATGTCTTAAGTAATTTAACATTATGATTCTGTGTTCTGAGGGAAGGCTCCTGTGCCACCAGCAGTAGAAGATTATTGTCGTGGTTTAACCCCAGTTGGCAACTAAGCACCACACAGCTGCTCGCTTACCCTCCCCCCTGCCCCTGGTGGGATGCGGGAGAGAATTGGAGAAAAAAAAAAAAGTAAAACCCAGGGGTTGAGGTAAAAACAGTTTAACAGGACAGCAGGGGAAGAAGAAATAACAATAATAATAATAATAATAATAATAATGATAAAAGAATGTACAAAACAAGTGATGCACAATGCAATTGCAAACCACCCACTGACTGATGCCCAGCCCGTCCCCAAGCAGTGATCGCTGCCCCCCGGCCAACTCCCCCCAGTTTATATACTGGGTATGATGTCATATGGTATGGCATAGCCCTTTGGCCAGTCTGGGTCAGCTGTCCTGGCTGTGCTCCCCCCCAGCTTCTTGTGCACTGGGCAGAGCATGGGAAGCTGAAAAGTCCTTGACTAGTGTAAGCACTACTTAGCAACAACTAAAACATCAACATGTTATCATTATTGTCCCACTAAATCCAAGACACAGCACGATACCAGCTACTAGGAAGAAAATTAACTCTATCCCAGCTGAAACCACAGCAATTAATTTAACGCTTTAGGTGGGAAGGCCAAGTACAATTAATGTTGCATTCCAATACAATTTTAGTAATAAGTGTTAATATGAAAAATCTATGAAAGGTATTAGAGTGTGGGTAGAGTGTAAGATTAATGCCCTCTGTCTTCAGAATTATTCCTGCAATATTTTATGTGCTAAATAGATTAATTTGTAATACAGTGATATTGTCTGTGACTTTATTGGAAGTCATGTTACAAGTAGGAACAACGAGGCTCATGATACTACTATAAATAGCAAACCGGTAAGACAGCACTGGCAGGATATAAGAAATTACGAACTGCTTCAAATTCTTTGTAAAGAACAGGAAATCCTAGGGGCAAAATAAGCAGCCAGATCCTCTTTCTGAAAGTGACAGAGTGTATCCTCCCTAGACCTAAGATAACCAATCTGTTCAGATTACTTAGCCAAATTGTGATCTCCAATCCAGTTCACAGCTTGTGGTAACTGGAAAAACATAGTCCCCAAAGAGATGTGGGACTCCCAAAAGGTCTGTCTGCCTTTCAGCCTTTCTCAGTCTGCACCACTCTCCTCCCCTCAGTATGGAGACTGGGCACTGTGGTTCCTGTGGTTCCACGGGCAGCTGTGGTGTTGCTTTTGGCACTGGCTTTCATGGAGGCAGAGCTATTTTCAATACTAAGTAATTTAGCAGTGGTTACTGAGGCCGAGCTCTTAGTGCTTAGCATCTTAGTAATGACAACCATTAATGAAATTTTTAGCTGAGATGGAAACACTAAGGAGGATACTCCCACCAGTTATGCACACTAGGGGAACAATCCTTCGCTCGCTTCCTTCTCTTCCATTATTGAGTATCTGGCTAGTCTGATCACGAATTTAGAAATCATAAGATTTTTAAAGGGAACCTTAGTCTTTTATCAGCTTGGAGCACATTTTTTTTCCAGAGCAGTATGCAGTCTTGGTCCATATGCATCCCATCAGGTATTGTCATTCTTTCCTCCAGCTCCCCACGCGCGCACACACACACATCCACAGTCTGTCTTAAATAGTACAGTTCTCCCCTATGAAACCTCAGTGTGGAAAAAAAAATATTAAGAAAACAACAACAAAAAGATTCAGTTGTGAATATTGTTCCAGAAGGAGCAGCCAAACAGCAAATAATAAATACAGAACGTCATATTCCTAAAGTCATGTCACTGGACAGAGATGTTATTTTCCACTTGCACTAGCTGGAATTCAGGGCTGCACAGAACTGTTGGAGTACCTGCAGTAGTCACTCACCTTTTCACAATAATTTGTATATTATTGTATTATAAGAACTCTCCACTGTAGGAGAAGATCAGGTTCAAGACCATCTAAGGAACCTGTACATGCAGAAGTCAATGGGACCTGATGAGATGCATCCGCAGGTCCTGAGGGAACTGGCAGATGAAGTTGCTAAGCCACTATCCATCATATTTGAGAAGTCGTGGCAGTCCTGTGAAGTTCCCACTGACTGGAAAAGGGGAAACATACCCCCCATTTTTAAAAACGGAAAAAAGGAAGACCCAGGGAACTACAGGCCAGTCAGTCTCACCTCTGTGCCTGTCAACATCATGGAGCAGCTCCTCCTGGAAACTACGCTAAGGCACCTGGAAGATAAGGAGGTGATTGGTGACAGCCAACATGGCTTCACTAAGGGTAAATCGTGCCTGACAAATTTGGTAGCCTTTTATGACGGGGTTACAGCGTTGGTGGATAATGGAAGAGCAACTGATGTCATCTACCTGGACTTGTGCAAAGCATTTGACACTGTCCCGGATGACATCCTTGTCTGTAAATTGGAGAGACATGGATTTGACGGATGGACCACTCGGTGGATGAAGAATTGCCTGGATGGTTGCACTCCAAGAGTTGCAGTCAATGGCTCGATGTCCA